CCTGGTCCAGTCCGTTGTTCTGCCCTTGAGAACCTGCCGAGCCGCGGCGGGCCGAGGAGGCAGCGCAGACGCAGCACCCGGGGACGCCAACGGTCCACTTCACCGATGCTGGCTGGGCGGACCCTTGGCCTGGCCAGGGTCGGTGAGGCGGAGAGTTGACACTCCACGGACGCAAGCTGCGCGCGCGCGAAGTCAAAGAGGTCGGCAGGATGGCACGAGAGCGTACATGCAAGACCACCGGTCCAGCATCCCTCTTCCTCCGCATCCTCCCCCTTGCATCCCACGAGTGGGGAGGGGGGATGAGCAGCCGCACGGTCGCGACTGAAGACAGATGACACCCCATAGCACGCCGAGAGTGATCCGAGAGCAGCGCGTCTGAAATTGGCCAGAGGCCTCAAGTGGTGCGGACGTGCGGACTGCCAGTTGCTGAGATCACATACTTGCACCCTTGACTTGGAAGTGTCGCGCTACACATTCAGCATCGGTCGCCAATGTCTCGGGTGGGACGAGCTCCTCGACGAGGCTCACAGGACAGCCTGGAACATGTCGAGAGCCGAGCTTCAGGCTGCCCAACTCCACGAATCTTGACGTGCGAGGCAGCCTTCGCGCTGCGACACCGCCCCCTGGAAAAGGGCAACCTCTCCAGCCCAGACCCCGAAGCGCCGCCCCCGTGGGCGACCTGGAGACCCAGAGCCGGAGAAAGCGGAAGGCATCAAACAGTGCCTAGGTAGAGGCGAACACCCGAGGGCAGTGCGCGTAATAAGCTTATGTCTGTTTCCACTGCGCCTCGGAGTCTCGGGCCCCCTGCCCCGCAGGCCCGAGGCGCACTGGACATGGATAGATATCTGGACCCCAGAGGCTAGATGCTTGTCCATGTCCGGTGCGCCTCGGCCTTCCAGCTCCCCTGTACAGGAAAGTCCAGGACGCACTGGATACCGATGTCGATATTGCCCGCAGGCAGCGCAGGGGCTGTCGACGCAGAGCCACACGAGGATGGGGAGCACCCACGGGGCGCGGGCGCGCCCTGCCGAGGAGGCGCCGAGAATCCGGCGCCGAGAATCCGGTGCACCGGTGTGTGGGCTGCTCAGGGCCCGCATGGCTCACAGCGAGTCGAGTGCTGTGGTTCCTCCGGCTCTGCAGATGTTTTGTCTCCTCCTCCTCCTGCTGCTCCTCCTCCTCCTCCTCCTCCTCCTCCTCCTCCTCCTCCTCCTCCTCCTCCTCCATCTCATCTTCCCCTCTCCGCCTCCTCCCGCTACCCCTTCTTCCCCCTCCCGCCTGTACTTCTCAGCACTCTCCCTTTCCCTTCGGCATTCCCTTCCTCCTCCGCCTCTTCCTGATAGGAAGAGGCAGGAAGAGGCAGGCAGAAGACGCGGGCGGAGTAGATGGCCGCGCCGAGGGCAGGCGGAACGGAACAGAGAGGGACAGGGCGAGGGCTCACTTCTCCCTCCAAGCGCTCGCCTTTGTGAAAGTTCCTGTCCTGAACTGTTGCAGTACGTTGCCTCATCCCCCCTCATCCGCCGCCGTCGTTTCCTCCTCGTCGGGTGCACCGAGCAGGAGGGCCCGGAAGAGAGGAGGAGTGCGCATCATGACACGAGGCGTGTGCGCGGGTGCGGGGTGGGGGGGGGGGAACGGTTGAAAGGATCGGCGGTGAGCGAGGGGGGGAAGTGAGAAATAGAAGGCCTTCTCAGAAGGCGGCGGGGCTTCTCAGAAGACCTCCGGCCTTCCAAAAGGTTTTCTGTGTCTTTGGGGAGCGCTTTGGAAACTTCTGCGAAGGCCCGGGGACTTCCGAGCCTTTTAAGAAGGCCTTCCCCTTCTCACTTCTCCCCCCCGGCTCGCCGCCGAAAGCAAGGGGGGCCGTGAAATCCGAAGATTTCGTGGCCCCGGCCACAGTCTGCACACGTCCCAAGGCCCCACCCCACCCCTGGGACGCCCCTGCGAGGCGGGGATGCACCCATGACCACCACCTGGGGGGTCGATCCCAAAGGACCTCGGCGGGCCATGGACGTTCATATGTTTGCCCCCTCCCCCCCCCTGGCCCGAATATGATCATGTCCACCGCATGCAGAGTCCCGATCTCTGCAGCCTCGGACCCTGGTCCTCACCCCCTCCCCACCTTCTCCTCCTCCCCTCTCCCTCTCCCTCTCCTCTCCCTCCCCTCCCCTCCCTTCTCCTCCCCTCCTCCCCTCCTCTTCTTGGACGCCCCCGACCTCCTCCTCCTCCTCCTCCTCCCTCCTCCTCCTCCTCCTCCTCCTCCTCCTCCTCCTCCTCCTCCTCCTCCTCCTCCTCCACCCCACTCTCCCTCACCCCCCCCGGGTGTCAGGTCGTCCGGCTGGGCCGCGCGGCAGCATCGGCGCCACGTGCGGCAGGTTCGCGCTGCGCCGACTTCGGCGTTGGTGTCCGACACCGCGGGGATCCTTCCACCCTTGAGCGATCGGCCGATTCCGAAACGCCAGAGCGTGCAGCATCGACCGGTTCTGGGTCGCTGGCGGCGTTCCACGTGGGACGCCGGCGGCGGGGTCGCCGCTGGCCGGCACGGCGCGAACCCAGCATGCGTGCGGGCGGGCGCGGAGAGGAGGAGGAGGCAGCGAGCCGTGGAGGAGGCGACTGACGGGAGGAGGAGGGAGCCGTGGGGGAGGCGGCGAGCCGTGGGGGAGGCAGCGAGCCGTGGAGAGGGGGGGGGAGCGCAGGAGGAGGCGGCTGACACGAGGAGGGGCGGAGCGGGGCCGCACGCTGCGGTCCCGACAGAGGGCCCCCCCTGGCCCAACGGTGGAGGCCAGGCCACACACACACCCACACACACACACAGAACACCAAGGCGGACCCGCCACCCAGGGGAGGGGGAGGGGGAGGAGGATCAGGAGAAGAATGGGAGGAGGAGGAGGAGTGGAGTGGAGTGGAGTGGACCCCGTTGCGATGCAAGTTCGGTTTCGCTTAGCCTGGCCTGGAAGGGACACTCGAGCGAGCCGATTGCTCGGCCCGACTCAGGACCTTGGGCTGCAACCCCCTGTGGATCCTGTCAAGGTATGCCCTACCGTGCTTGGACAATGGAGGAGGAGGAGGAGGAGGAGGAGGAGGAGGAGGAGGAGGAGGAGGGAGGAGGGAGGAGGAGGAGGAGGAGGGAGGAGGGAGGAGGGAGGAGGGAGGAGGGAGGAGGGAGGAGGGAGGAGGGACGGAAGAGGAGCAGGAGGGGGGAAACAAGGAGGGGGAGGCGAGCAAAGAGGCGCAGTCTCGCCGGCGGAGGCGCAGACCACAGGGCCGCGTTCGGGGGCCGCATGCTGCCCATGCGCAGGCTCACCTTCGGGCCAAGGGCGGCGCCGGGCAGGAGAGGCGTACCCAACGAAGCAGGCGATGATGCCTATGGGAACGCTGACGACAACGCTGACGACAACGACACCGCGAGGAAAGAAAACTACGCACATACACCGATTCTGGCCAGGACCATCCTAAGCCCAGGATCGGTGCACACACCCTCGTGCCTTGGCCAGGAGGGTATCTGCACCGATCCTGGGTCAAGGATGGGCGCTGTCATGATCGGTGAATGTGCATCGTTCTCTTCGCCCGATGATGCCGATGGTAACGCTGACGACAGCGCGAGTAATCAGGACAATGGCGTTGGCGGCGGCGGCGACGATGACGCTCCCCCTGGCCGTAAGCGGCTTGGAAGCCCAGGCGTCCAAGTGCTGTTGCCGATGATGAGGAAGAACATGACAATGATGACGCCGATGACAACAAAGACGGAAAGTATGTCGATGATGACGACGAGGACAGTATATCTTGGAGGCCTCCCGAATGGTGTCCGAAAAGATGGGGCTGGAGAACCGCGCCGCATCGCCCACACATCGCCGATGAGTCGGCGGTGTATCGACGTCAGCGATGCATCGTCGACATCGGCATGGAGGACATCGGGCTCCACATCGAGCCGCATCGCCGAGGCGTCGGGTGCGCGAGGAGGTCCCCCGACCCCATCCGCTCTGACAGTCAGAGGCTCCCCGGGAGGCGCAGCCCGCAGCCCCGGAGACGCCCCCGACGGCCCCGCGACCAGGATCCTCCAGGAACAGTGCCGCGTCCACGCCAAACCTACCGCGCTGCCCCAGCACCGCCATGCGGTGCTCGAGCCGTCGCGGGCGGCAGGCCTGGCGGTGGGCCTGGGCGCCGCGACGGATGACAGAGTATACTCTATCCGGCGCTTGCGCCGTCAACTCCAGCTGAACGAACAGATTTGGCCGCCAACTCCATCTTAGTGAAAACATTTGGCCGTCAACTCCGAGTTGACGAACCCACTTGACGGCCTCCTTCCGAGTTGACGAACCCCCATTGACGGCCTCTCTCCGAGTTGACGAACGCCCTTGGCGGCCTCCCTCCAAGTTGACGAACCCCCTTGACGAACCCCCTTGACGGCCTCCCTCTGGGGTGACGAACCCACGTGACGGCCTCCCTCCGAGTTGATGAACCCCCCTGACGGCCTCCCTCGCCGCCCCCTCCGTCTTGACGAACAGAGCGTCGACGCCGAGCTGATGGCCAAAAGTGACCTCGGTCTTGACGAACAAAGTGCCGGGGCCGAGTTGACGACTCCTCTCGTCTTGGCGAACGAAGTGGTGGAGCTGAATTCACGACTGCTTTCGCCTTGGCGAACGTAGCCTTGGGGCCGAGTTGACGACCGTTGTGGGCGCTTTTCCAGTCATGCGCCGTCTCAGCCACTGGATTGGACTCAATGCGGCGCCATGATTGTGATGTCCCTTCCACAGCTCAGTGCAAAGCAAGTTCGCAATTAAACATGAGCTCGCGTTAGGCGCGGCGCTGGCGGCCCCTCGGCGCGCGGTGGCCCAGAGTGGGATGCGCAACTGACAGCAAATACACAAACAGAAACACAGAACTGCGGATCTCATGGATCGGCGCTGGACCCCCTGGCGGCACCTCCGGCGCCACCCCTGGCGCGCTTCGAGCGCCAATGAGGGGGACCCAGCGCGGATGCAAGAACTCCGTGCGGGCCTTCCGACAGTTTATGTTTATGCAGCTTGTTCTGTTTATGTCGGGGGAAGGAGAAACGAGACCGCACCACTACGGGGTGCCCAGCGCGGATCCAAGAAACCCAGGCGGACCTCTGACAATTGAAATGCGTTTACCTCGAGCGTACTCTTCTTCTTCTTATTATTATTATTATTATCATTATTCTTCTTATTGTTCTTCTTCGTCTTCTCATGATTGATCGGCCTCTTGCTCGACTCCTTCTCACTCGCACGGTGTCTCTTCGCCGTGTGGCTCCTGCGTGGCGCGCTCCCCCCGCCCCCCGCGCGGCACGCCCGCCCCACCCCACTGGCCTCATGTCGGGCCTGTCCCCCTACAGGGGGATTTTCGACGAAAAATAAAAAATACACAAAACATGCACCAAAAAGGTCAACAAAAAAAATCCCCAGACTAGTTGTGGACTATTTTGTAACTATTTCTGGGGTACTTTTTATTTTTCGTCGAAAATCCCCCCGTAGGGGGACAGGCCCGACTTAACACTGGCCCGAGAGCCCGCCAGAGCCTGGGAGCGCACTCCGAGAGGCGCAGATTCCGGGACCCCCGACTCCAGCGAGGAAGGCCGCGCGGCTCCCGCGGAGGATCGCTGGCCACCCCCCCTGGGAGGCAGTGTTGTGGTGGGGGGGCTAGCTGCGGGGGCGCGGGGGGGCTGGGGACTGTCGGGCTGGAATGGGCGATACAGCGCCGACAAATGGCAGGCAGGCCCCCCATGGCGCATCCAGGCCCCCATAGGCGATGCGTGGCCCTTTGGCGGTCGATGCGTCCCGCCCTGAGCCTATCCCCCCCCCATGGTTAACCTTTTTTTTTCCGGACATAGCTAGAATCTCCGGCGGCCGTTCGGGACGATCCTGGGCATCCCGGGAACGCTCGCTCGGCGAGGCGCAGCCGCTGGAAGGCACCCCGAGGCTGGAAAGCCGACGACAACCTACGAGAACGCCCGAAAACCTCAGATGGGGCCGTCCACCTCTATCGCACCCCTGGTCCCAGTGCAAGGTGGTCTAGAATCGAATCGATAAGTCTGATCGGCGATCGAAACGAGTCGGATCGGCGAAAATCAGCAGGCTGGTACGCCTCCGGTAGAGGGTCGGAGTCCAAATCGGAATCCGAAGTCGAGTCGAACCGTAATCAGAAATCATCGAAATCGAATCGTATCGAATCGGAAGAATCGAAAGGCAGCAGAGAAGTGCTGGTAGAGGCAGCAGCACCTGGCCACCTCCCACTGAGCCCCCCCCCTGCGCCTACCCTGCGCCTACCCCCCCCCCCTGGCCTATCCTTGTCCCTGGGCTTCGTGTGCCGTCGCCATCTGCCTCGCGCGGCGTCGACGTCTGCCTCGCGCTGGTGCAAATCAGGGGCTGAGCCAGTGAATGCGCTCGTCGGACAAATAAACCACAACTGTAAGACTTACACCGGATCGAAGGTGGGCCCTGGCCAAGGCATTTTGTCGTTGTCGGAGCAACGAGCCAGGGGCCTCATCTCTCCTTGATGAATGATAGCTCGCGCTGCGCGAATTTCCCGTTTCAATTTTGATTCCTCACTGCACCGACCTTGCAGACGTGCTGCTGCGATTTTTTGCATGGATTTCTGTGTATACAAAACCCCGAAACAGCAAGTGAAAAACGACGTGCATTCCGCGTGGACTGCTTTAGCCCTCCTTCCTGGCCGAACAGACAACATCCGCACGAAATTCGCCTCGAAACCCAGAGCGACACTCTCCAGGACAATCCGGGCCCACCCCATTGTCTTTCGAGCGAGATCCGCTCTGCCATGCCTGGCACCAGGACGTCTCCGCTTCCCCCGAGGAGCCTCCCCGCGCGGTGAGGCCGCGGGCGCGCCCGCGAGGAGGGCCCCCTGTCGGCGGCCGCCGGGAGGAGCCGCCCGCGAGCGCGCCCGCGGCGTGCGGGCGGCACTGCGCGCCTGCAGAGCGCTCGGGAGCAGCCGAAGAGCTGCAGGAGGGGCCAGTCCACGGGAGACCTTCCACAGGACACCTTCCACGGGACATCCAACCCTGAGACCCTCGGACTTCCATTGATGTGCTAGTGCGGGAGCGCCGCGCTCTCGATCGCAAAACCATCGAAGCCCAAGAAACCCCAGGCACCCTGGAGGCCACCCGAGGAGCCTCTCCGCGAAGTCCGCAGCCGCGCGCGAGAGGGCTCCCTGCTGGTGGCCGCCGCGAGGAGCCGCCCGCGAGCACGCTTGCAACGTGCGGGCGACTGGTGGGGTCTCTTGAAACTTCTGTCCGCCGTGGAGGCGCGCGTCCGACCCGAACATATAGCATCTCGTTTCCCGAGCTGTGCGGCAAGAAAGCGCCCGCCACGACGCATGTACTATAAGATTTCTCGGTGCGCCCGTCGCCCCTGGGGTGGGGGTGGGGGCGACGCACACAAAGTATAAGTATGTTGGGTTGACGCCGATCTATGGTCCCCCCCCCTCTCAGCACAGACAGGTGCGTGCACCCCCCCTCCCGAGGCCGCTGCCCCCTGTAAAAAAGCGATTGGTCCGCGCTCCCGAGGCCACGAGCACTTGCAACAGAGCGAGCAATCCGCGTCCAAAGCTTCCAAGACGGCACAGGCGCAGCGCTGAGGACCAGCAGAAGATCTGCCCGTCAAACAAAACGAGGAGCACGGAAACGCGACACCGCGCGCCACCAGCAGTCACCAGCGGAAGGAGCCAGGGGGGTCACAGGGGCGGCGCCGGAGGCGGCGCCGGGTGGCCCAACACAGACCAAAGAAATCCGCGCGACGCTTCTTCTTCGAGATTCACACGAGACTGCGGCACTGATCAAACAATCTAACCACGGCCACAAGAGTATGGACCAACAGCAGGAGCGACTGCGCCGAGAAACCAAGGCCTCATGTAAATGCCGAAGCAAGGCCTTCCCAGGTGGAGAGCACAAAACCAGCAAACATACAGAAGGGCATCCCTCCACAGCTAGGGTTGGCCTTGACCCTCGTGCACATTGTTGCTTGAAGAAGGGGATGACTTTGAGTCTGCAGCATCCATTGAGTCTTACCTTGGCTCTTGCCCTGCTTATGGTGGGAGATGTGCACAAGGTACGTTGAGTCGGTGCTGGTGAGAGGTTGCCGACTGATTGTCTGAGGAAGAGGTAGTCTGCGCGAGGAAGACCAGGGCGGACAGATCAATGTCACGAGGCACGCTACAATACTCAAAGAAGACCAGCGCAGCGCAACAAGAGTGGCTCGTACTGACCCAAGCGTATCGGACTCGGCTCAAGCCGTGGCGCGCTTCCAAGCATCCGTGGGAGCAACCGTCGCTCGCAACACACGGCCACCTCTGGGGCGCGGCCCCACCCGGGAAGCAGACCTGCGCGCTGGCACGGCCTGGGCACTCAGAGCGCATGCGGGCTGCACGTCGGCGGCAAGACGCCTGCTGCTCGGGTGGATGGTCATAGGGGGGTGACCTGAAAGGGCCCTCAAGGGGCTCTTGCGGGCTTTTCCTCACCCTACATGTAGATCACCCCTACTATCACCCACCCGAGTTGCGACAAGCAGTAGTGGCTACGGTTGAATCGCGAAGGACTCCGCTGCCGAGGGCAATGCACGAGGACATCTGGGCAGCGCGCCAGCAAGGCCCGTTGGACACGGACAGGCAACGCAGGACGGTCCTCTGGAGAACTGCCGGGCAGATGCCAGGCCGATGCTGAGGCGTCAGACCTGGAGGAGGAGGAGGAGGAGGAGGAGGAGGAGGAGGGGGAGGAGGAGGAGGATGACTGGATGCATGAGACAGCCACTGACTGAAGGCTCGCAAACCTCCACAAGGAGTGAGGACAACTGGCATCATAGACTGAGCCAACAGCGCAATCGAACGCCAATCTGAACCATGCTAAGCCGTGCACGCGGCAAGAATGTATTACCGCACGCCTCACACGTTTCTGCTGGCACCATGTCTTGCGATGCGTCTCCAGAGAGAACACTCCAATCCAAACAGCCCAGCTTTGAAGCGCGCTGAGGGATCCATAACAAAGGGTCCAGAACAACTGCAATGCATTCGCTTGTGGCGTAAATCGTTTCGGTTCAACTGTTTGTCTGTTGCTCCGGATAATTGTATTACACCGTCTTGCAACTAGTGCATTGCATGCGAAAACCAACAATAAACTTGCTTCCCGGAATGTAGTGCACACCCCGAATATGTTGCAACTCCACAGATATATTACACCAGCGCTGTTGCACTACTCCCCTGTAGCTGGGCCCCCATTTGCGTCAACCAGACTTACGAACAAAGATCCAAAACTGAGACGACGTGTGCGAAAAGGCTCACACACGCAGCGTTTGAGCTGGCAGAGAGAACCGAAGAGAGGCGGCTCCTCCCTCCTTCGCTTCGTCGGCTGGCCTCCTCACCTTTCGTCGTCCACTTCTCGTCGCTGCCGCAGCCCTGCAGATACAGTAGGAGCTCGACCACAAGAAACCGCCCACAAGAAGCCCAACCTTGAGACCCCAGGGAGTCCACTGATTTTTGGTGTGGGAACGTCACGCTTTCCATCACAAAACCATCGAAACCGGGGGCACCCTGGAGGTAAGCAGGGTGTTTCTTGGCATGAGTTGCCACTGTACCTCCAGTGGTCTCCTGAAACCTCCGAACGTCCAGTGGCCACCAGAAGCCGCAAGAGGCCTGTGGAAACACCACGACGACAGCCCAAGACGCCCGGAAGGTTGGATCGCATATCCTCTTCATTGCTCGCCGTTCGTCGTTCGTCGTTCGCCGTCGACCGTCGTCGTCGGTCCATGTTCGACGGTCGTGGTCATCGTCGTTGTCGTTTTTCGTCGAAACCTTCTGCGTCGTCGTCGTCGTCGCCGACAGTCGCCCTCGTCGTCGTCTGTCGCACGCCAGCGTCGTCGATCGTCGCCGGCCGCCTTCCCGCCGCCCTCGTCGTCGCCCTGATCGTCGGCATGCTCGCCGCCGTGCTCGCCGTCTCCGCGTCGATCGCCGCCCGCCGTCCATCGTCGTCCGACGGCGGCGGGCGGCAGCGACAAAAGCGGCGACGCCGGGCGCCTGCATGGTCGCCAGCGCCTTCGCGGAGGTGGCGGGCAGCGGCACCCGGCGGATGAGGAGCAGCGCCTCGTCTTTGGAGTCTCGCGGGGCGCCGCGGGCGACGTGGGCGAGGAGCGGTTAATAGTTCCCCAAATCTTCCGGGGGGGTCTAAACCAGCAAGCCCAAAAAGCATTGGGGATAGGGTGTGTACGATGCCGAGGCCTCAGATGAAACCACCCACATCAACAGGGATAGAAAGCCCTGGGACCGATCACCTAAGTTAGCCCACGAATTCATTGTGTTCTCAGGGGGATCGGGTGTGTACGATGCCGAGGCCTCAGATGAAACCACCCACAGTAATAGGGATAGAAAGCCCTGGGACCGATCACCCAAGTCAGGCCACGAACTCATTGTGCTAGCAGGGTTAAGTGTTGTATTATACTTGAGGAATGAAGGACGCCGCCGGCGACGACCAGCGACGACGACGGCGACGGCACACGACGAGGGCGAAAGACGAGCGGCGAACAACGACGGAGATCGAGGCCCCAGGCTTCGCGCGCCCTGGGCCTTCTTTCCCTTTGTAGGACGAAGCCGGGGCTGGGACAACATCGGACGGGGACAAAATCGGGGATCTCTGGGATCTGGCGGCTCTGGAGGATGCATCGGGCGCCGCGGCCGTTCCAGAGCGCTGTAGAAAGCTACGATAACGTTCCGGAGCGATTGAGCTGGAGACCGCTCTCTCTTACGGCGTTGATGACGTCTCCCTGTGATCCCTCGTGGGCGGCGGCAATCGCCCCGCTCTGCCGCTGGGCTAAGGGGGTCTGGATCGCCCATGACAGGCCGTGCCTCTCTCTCCCTCTCGCTCGCCACTGCGCGCGAGGCCTGGGGAAATGTTGTCCTTCGCCCATCGCGTCTCTGGCGCACCGCTGCGGGGCCCAATGGTTCGAGCAGAAAGTGGGCCATGCCGTCTTTCATGGCGCTTCGGGATGAAGGCGGCGCCGATGTCCACCTCGCCCAAATCTCGCCAGCCATGGTCAAGTCTTTCTTGAAGCGCGCGGTGGCCGGGCATCCATGGTTGGGCCTTGATTCCCGTTTCAACGGGGTCCTCTCGCGTCGTCCTTGACGTCTGCTCAGATGACCCAGTTTCAAAAAGCATGCACCCGCTCGTTGCTTTTTAAAACGGGCCCCCTGCACCGTGGCCGGAGCTTGGTCTTTCGGGTAAGTTACCGACGCGGTCTGTGAATTATGCCTGCGCGCTGCGGGCGCCCTCTGGCGCTGGCTGCGGCGCTGCGCCGGCGGCGGGCGCTCGGGGTGCCGCGGCCTCATTCCACATCGAACTGAACGTTTTCCCCGACCGCTGTTCGAGGCAAGAGTGATCATCGAGATGCGCGAGGGATGCGAGGATACCGAATTCCTCAAGGACCTGGCTGGCCGAATGCTCGTCTATTGGACTTGCTTGTGTGACAGAGATCTTTCGCGCTCGACGGGCGATTGCGCATCTCGACCTCGCGGCCAAACGGGAGGCGGCGTGCCTCGGGGGTCTCGTCTGGCCCCCCATATCTGCCCATGATTGGGCTGCTTCCAGCGCGGCGCGCCCCGACTGCCCGAATGCCGCCGAATGCGCTGCCACGCCCTGCATGGGCCCAACAGACCTCCCACGTGCGTTTGTGCTCAACGAGTGCTGGAACTGTTCGTTCTTAGTCGCCGCGCTTTGCTGTCGTCCGAGCACATTCCAACGTTGACGGCGCCGCCGACGAGCATGGCCATGGCGCGATATATCTGGCAATAAATTTGCGCGGCGCAGCGGCGACGGGCCCCGGAAATCCATCCCGCCTGTAAACATTGACGGGAGCGAACCTGTCGATCGGTTTGCACGCCGATCAACCGCAAAACGAGCATGATTTAACCGTGAGAAATTGTTCGGGGCGCCCCCCTTACCCCCGGCGTTATCCGTAGAGCCGCGCCGCGAATTGACCCCCGAGCGCAGCTTCGCCGAGCGATGCACTCTGCGCCGCGCGAAATCTACGCAGCACACACAAAAAAACGAGCAGACAGATTGTGGCTGGACGAAGAAGATCCCATTGAAAACACACGACGATACAAACGAAATGTAAAGTAGTTCATAGTGAGGATGCGCGCTAGGGGCGCGGGAGCCTTGGGCGCCGAGCCCGGCGCTTCTCGGGCGACAGGCCGCCGGCGCCCTGAAGGGGTGGCCGGTGAAAACCGCAGAGGCAGGGGCGCATAGCGCCGCAAAGACATCCTCGCGTCATTGCCATGAGTTTGATCTGCGCGGACATCGGCGACAATGATGATTGCTGAGCTCGCTGCGAGAACTCTCGAATGCGCGCTGGCGCCTGCCCGGGGGCGCAATGGAGAAAACGCCGATCTCCATGGGCATCCGCTGAGCAGCGGCAAAACAAACTGAACTGAACTCGAGATGAGCTGACATCGCCGCTCAGCGCGCGCTCGAGCTGACGCCGCCCCTCCTGCGC